ATTGAAACTTGAGTGATAATTTGTGGTTATCCAAAAGATTTTACGACTTCACTTCATGAGCATAGAAAAACAAAAGACATGTTGACACATGTTTTTGTGTAAAGTTTTAAGATCATCAGAGTCAAAGCTACCACACAAACACAAGGACACATACACATACACATGCCAGTGTGTACATTGCTAGCTGTCAAATTGGCGCTCATACAAATCAAGGTCAAGAAAGGTCATTTCTGGTGGAAAACCAACGTTGCCATTAAACATAATCCAGGCAGCAAATATGTTTTTATCAATTCTTATTTGGCAAAACAGTAGTAGTAGTATTTAAATGTATTTTCTAGGGTTATAGAATAGACCTTTGAACAATCACCTGCAGGTATACAGATATTTCTGTAAATGGAAAAGGTACTGGTCATTTTCTGCCAGTACTTTATCAGTTTATACTGGTATTTTTCTTTCAGTGTGAGAATAGGCCTGAACTGAGCAATTCTGCATTGTAGCTGAAAAACATAGCTATTGCAGCCTTATTTCCCCTCATCCAAAGAACAGTAATACACTGTTGGTGGAGACACTCATGTACAGACAAGAAAAACATTCTTATTGTCAGAGTTTTCCAGTTATCTGAAAGAGACTAAACTCAAGAAGAAATAGACCCAGAAAAGATAGTAAAATAGTTGTGTTTGGGTGTATTTTTGCCTTCTTTTCAACTTAATCAGTTCATAATGTTTGCTGTTTTTTCAGCCAACTTAACTCCCTTCACTAACAATGTGTTCTCTGTACAGTATGTTGGACTCACTTGTTCTTTCAAAAGTCCTGTAACCTTGGCGCGTGGCAGCTATTGTGAAACAAACCATTCATCATCCTTGCTCCATTGCATCCACAATCAAATTCAGATTAATGTTTAAAACAAAAACAAAACAAAAATCAAATTAGAGTCACTTAGAGTATGGATTGTTTGGTTTGGGGGCATTTATGCTACCAGGTCAATTAAAGCAAGAATCAATAATACAATAATGAAACAATAATGAAACTTTGGCATCACGTGGAGGAGAGAATAAAACAACCAGAGGTGATAATGCTAATCAACAAACATCCAGTGCATGGGAGCAGGTATGAATCATTTACAGTAAGAAGGAGAGTGCTGCTCTGTGCGCAGATGTGCGTTTGATATGCATCATCGGTACACCATTAACATTTTTGGACGGGGTTGAAGGCTCCCGGTGCCTCTCGTCTCCATCGCCTGTGACTGCAACAGATGGTCACCCCCTCTCTCACAGGCTCCACCCCCTCCCTGTGCACTCCCCCACAGGTGTCAGGCTCCCACTCCCCCCTTTCCTCCTCCATCGTTAAATAATCACCAGCAGCACCCCCCCCCCCCCCTTCCCCTGGTTGTCAAAAGCAACGCCATCCTTCCTCTGTTTAATCCGGTCTTACTCCTCCTTTCCTTGCCCTCCCTCTCCCTCTTGAGGACCCCCATCCCCACCCTCCCAATGCTCCCATCGCTCAGCACCTGTGAGGATCCCACCGAGCGAGGATAAGGCCTTTCTGTAGCTCCCTTGCTCTCCGTGAGCAGGGTTGGGAGATGGGGGGGAGGGGGTCAGGTAGAACAAAGAAGGAGAAAGCACGTAGAGACATTGGGAATTCTTGACAGCTGTTTCATTCGGGAGGCAATCTCCCCTCCCGGGTGCCATATCGGAAAAGGACATGGGGGAAAAAGACAGAGTGGCTGCACTCTGAGGCAGAAAAAAGGGACTAGACAAAGATCTTTAGGAAAGTTCAGAGGATTAATTTGACACAAGGAAGAGAGGATGGTAGAAGGCAAGGAGGAGGAGGAAGCGGAAGAAGGGGAAAAAATGCTTTCTTTGTCAAAGTAATTGCTCTCAGCCAGTCTAGTGTGCAAACTGGGGAGAGATTATAGGATTTATTCCCATGTAGATTTTCAACGGAGACGCTTTGCTGGAGCCATTCTGTTCCCTTCAGCAGAATGTGTGGCCTGGGATGTTCTGTATAAATCCATAAATCCATAAATACTGAGCAATGCTGGAGCACCGTGCCTTTTATTCCCCGGGACAGTGAGACAGAGCAGGTACACACGGATCAAATGTGTGTGTGTGTGTCAAGGAAAACAAATGAAATATCAAAAAAATGACACAACAGTATATATTTAGCGTATGGGAGCAGAATGGCAGCTGCCGACTTCATGGCCATTGTTCTGCAGCAAGAAAACAAGGCTTTGTTCAGTGTCAGAAGGCAGAAACCCTTTCACAGAATCACAATCATCTCCACAGTTAAAGGTAGATAAAACAGAAGCCAGCAAGAGGGATGGAAATACTAATTATAGATGCTATCGCACGAGTAGATATTCAATAGAATAATTCATTTATTTGATGTCGAAAACACAGAAACAACCTGAATTTGGGGGAAGAGATTATTACAAGATCAAAACGGCAGCACATATTTGCATTTGTTGTGCTACTTTGTTTACCAGAATACTTCAAACAATGCATTACCATTTCAAAGCTGGTCAAGTATGTGTAATTCCTTGTCCACACATGAAAACAAGATGAAATTGCGTTTGTCGGTTTTATTTCATTATATATTTATTTGCTCGCCCGCGGGCTGAGAGTAAGAGTGCAGCTGTAAATCAGTTTATCTTTGCAGTGAACTTGTGCTGACTCTCTCATGACTTGCACAAAGCAATGGGGGTAAATAGCATTGTGCGCACGGGAAGACGCCTCACGCAGGACAGCTGCCTCAAAGACACTTTTTGAAGAAATCAAAGGCTCCCTCTGTTAGAAAAGAAACTTCTGTCATTCCTAACGCTTTCTTTCAACATGTGTCACCAATCAAACAGCCCTCAGAACACCTTCTGTTTTCAATCCGGCTCTTTGACAGGCTACTTGAAAAGTAAAGGGTCCCAAATGTTCCCCGTTGTGTATGTGTGTGTGTCGTGTGTGTGTGTGAGTGTGTGTGAGTGTGTAGTATGACAGGTCCTTTTACTTTCAATGCAGCCCACCAGGGAATGCCCCATAGTTGCCCACAAGCTTCTGTTTCCACAATAGTACCTCCAATAGTAGACCCTGCCTGTATGTCCTGTCACTGCACAGCGACAGTACGTCACACAAGAACAAACACCACCACCACTTTTTACAGGCCTGAATTACTCCAGAGTGAAATAGCTGTCCTACAAACAGTTCTGAGGCTTCAGAGGAGACAGAGTATAATGAAACCAATTTTTCTGTGTAATGAAGTTGCATCATAACCCAAGTAAAACCCAAAGACTGTTTCATGTACTTTGTTGCAGGTTTCATGGCAACCTCAAATCCCACTGGAGTGTAAATAAAATGTTCAAGTAAAAAGATCAAGCCCGAGCTTTCACAAGCGGGATGACTCATAGCACATGTGTAGGCTTGTTATCTCCATCGTTTCTCCTCATTTGTGGTTAAGTCCTCTCCTCCTGTCGCCTTCGGGGCTGTGACTGGTTCCAGGCAGCGTTGCAGTGACGCTCTATGGGTGGCGGGATGGGAAAGGGCCTCAGGTTCAATTGGCACAGGAAGAGGTGGCCTGTCGGAGGGAGTGCTGTAGCCTGGGTGTGACCTATTTTGGCCCAAGGAGACGTAATTTCATGGTGTCCACTGGGAGCAGTGATGGTGGTGGATGTGGGCTACTGTGACCTTCTAGTTGATGATTAACATGTGCCAAATAACCAGATAAACCAGTCATTTTCTTAGTTGGTTGACCTGGTGGCTTAGGAAATCAGACCAGTGCACAGCAAAGTTCCTTTCAAAACAGCTAAATAATCTGTAATCTGCAGAATGCTGATGGTATTAAAAGGAAATCTACAAGTGGGGTATTAGCAAAAATGTTTTAAAATTCTTGGACCCAGGAAATGAAGCCACTACATAACACAACCTGACCTTAAAACTAAAATCTTGATTTCAGAAATTCAACACAAACTTTCTTAAAAATACAATAACCATTGTTTAATTCAGCTCAATTCAGTGTCTAATAAGACATGAATTCCTCCACTCAACAAAACTAGAAAGGAAATATCAGGGGTTGTAAGCATAAACTGCTGGAGATTGCATAGCTAACAGGCTAACAACAGCTGTCCACAAGTTGTAAATCACACAGCTTCTTATCAAACACTTCACTGTTCGGATTGTGAGAAATAATACAAAAAAACAATATTTCCTGAATGGTTCCGCGGTCACCAGTGCAGGAAGTGCCAGTGCTCATGCCCTATAAAACCTAGAAATGTTGAATTACATACAAGTTCTGAACCTAAAACTCTCGCAACGCCTTTCAAGAATTTTGTAGATGCCAGAGTTATTTGTAGTGATCTGCTTGAAGTCAAACTAGATTTTAATCCTAAATATGCTGTCATTTCCAGAATCTACTTCTTTGCATTGGAGACTGTACCTTCTTTAACCAGTTCTACAACCGTACAATCAGATTTTCAGGCCTTGTCAGCTGCATTAGAAAAGCAGATTGAATATCTTACTAAAGAAATAATCTAATACAAATGGTGCTTGACAATGTTATTCAAAAGATATTATGACTTTTTGAACGACTCATTTTACAGCGTACATTCTATTTTCTAAAGACACTATGATCAGACATCTTGAATTAATTTTATATTACTCATTTCTTCCATATTGTCAAGTATGTGAGCTACAGGGAAATGACAAGTAGTCATCCATATGCTATGAATTCAAGTCCTTCAGATTTCTGTCAGTCTTTAAAGTTCAGTAAGCTCAGTTCTGGATGCTTTATCCCCGACTGCTATTAAAGGTCAACCAGTGGGCCTATTGCTTTAAACATTTTCCTCCAATTTCACACAATATCTGGCTGCACAAGGTGCAAGGATTCCTGTTGAGATTATAATTTCTCACACTAAGAGGGAGACGAGGCTGTTCTGGTGAACACAGTCAGCTCTCTCGTTCTTCATCTGGTCATCCTTGCAGTAAGTCAGTTCATCTGTGAATCTTTCTGTCTCCCAGCATACACACCACTCCATGGTCCAGAGAGTGAAAGACATTAGCCCTCCTCTACCCTCACATTACAGAGACCAGCCTCTCCTCTCATACACGCACTCACCAGATGTTGCCCAAAGCTTTAGGGAAGAACCCCCAGGTATGTGTGTGTGTGTCTGTGTGAGTGTTCATGTCAGCCTCCCCATAATTGGCTTTTCTTGTGCATCTGCCGAGATTTATGACCACAGTTTTTCCTACAACAGAGTCTGCTTCCTCTTTTGAAATCCCAGTGGGGCAGCAGATCAGGGATCAGAGGGAGAAGCAGGTTCTTCAACCCAAAACAGGTGACTTCGACTTAGGCCTAACCAGGCTGAAAAGAGGGTAAAAAAACGATTTCCCAAATCCCTTGACACCAGCATTTTTATCTACTGGCAGTTCACACGAACCCCATCTGCTTCTCATATCAACATGCTTGCACTTGCCAGCACAGGGGTCTACTGGTCTGGCCTGCAGGGGTCAGGAGGACAAAGCCGAGTAATGAAATCAAACTGGCCAAATGACAGAGTCTGCTGCTGATCACTGGAAATCGCTGAAGGTTTTCATTATGGAGTATTATGATGGCGGGAATGCAAAAGGGGGATATTAAAGACTCGGTATAGCTCTTACAGTGTGAGTAATGATCGGACAGAGAGCAGCCAAAGACAGCTTTACTGTTCCCTCGGGCCTCAAAGTGTTAAGGGCACAAGCTGATACAGCAGAGGACCCACTAGGTTACATGCTGCGTTGTGTATCATGCAAGGATGAAACCTATTGTGTTTTGATGGCTTTACATTACCTCTGTGGGTACATCCACTGGATTTATGTCTGTGATGTCGGTTTTGTAGAGATGACGTTACTGTACACGAGAATATTCGGTCCATACTTTTACACCAATCACATTAAATATAGCTACAGAATGAACATTTACAGTCTATAAAAGCTAACGTTTCTCCACAGTATATAGTATCAAAGTATATAGTCCTGAACGGTATTTCTAAACCTGGAGAGGACCATATTCTTCCTGCACTATGTAACCCTGTTAGTCCCAGTGAAAGGCCAGTGTCCCATCCACGGTTTAAGTGAGGCTTGCACACAAACGGATTGGTCTATCTCACTGTCAATCAACATGTCGATGAAGCAAGTAAAATGATCTCTCATGTTTGCATTTAACTCCCCCTTGTGTATTATTATTATAACAGACATGTGAGCATCAAAGTTTGGTTGTTGTCAATAGTTGCCTCTGTTATTTATTGGTTATTCACATGCTAGGAGACCCCTATAAAGTCAGGAAGATCAGTGACATGGTTCGATTTGAGTAAAAACCTGAAAAGTTATTTTGTTAGTTTGTCTTTATGAGGCTGCTGTAAGGTAATGCCATTATGATAGTCTTTGATAAGTTAACTTTATAGCTTGAAACACTCATATTCTTCAAGTGTACAATGCAAACCTGGAACTGATGAGCTTTGCAAAGAAAGAAGTATCACCCACATACGGTGAAATAATGTTATCTATTGCATACACTGTGATCCTATAAATATATCGATCTGTACAAATCAAGACAGCATGGGGCTCAGAAGCCTTGTCATATGACACATGATAAAAGCTCTTTGTGTGTGACCAAGGCGAAAGCTCAGACGCTTCTCAAAATCCTCTGACTGTAAAGGCAGACTGGACCAAACAGAGGATCATTTTTCTACATTTGCTCAATTGACACTCAATCAAAGGTAATATTGGAGGGACTGGACTGTGGCCCAGCAGGGATGTTCAGATGGAGTTACTTCAGAGACGGTACTTTTCTAAACTCCCCCTCCAGGTATTATTGAGGGTTGAAGCTTCTCTCTGTCCTCTCACAGTCTGGGCAAAGTTCCACTGTTTGGTCTTCTCTCCCTCCTCACCTTATTTTTACCCTTATCCCCAAAGGTGATATATAGACGAGTGGATGTCTTTATCCCTGATGCATGTGCTTTTTAGTATATTTCCACTCTGACCAGACGGATTCTTTCAAAGGCCTCTCCCTTCCTCAGGATGAAGACAGATTTGGCAGGAGCTCTGTGATGCAATGCCAGCGCCGGCAAATTCTAAAACACTCTTCCCCCCCCCCAGAAGTGAACATCATAAATTTGACTATTGTCTTTATTAACATCCAAGTCATCACAGAATGTTATTAGAAGTTAAGCCAACTCAAGGCAAAAACCTCCCGAGCCAGCTGTTACGGTGACCCGTCATGATTGGAGATTAAAGAATAGAGAGACAAGGAGGATGTGTTTGTCGTACTTTTACACTGCCACTTCAGCAAATGTGGCAGCCACATTTTCCCTCACGTTATGAGAGGTATGTTCAGAAAGTCATTTTTTTTTTTTAAACTTTATTTTATTTTTAGCTGTTAAATGCATGAAGGATCTGGCAACCAGATGACTGAAAGTTTTGTTTAATGTCTTCTTGGTTCAACTAAATACATGTATATATGAAAGACACTAGTCACATTTATAATTATGATGGAAAAAGAAAAGTTCAAATATGTTTCATTTTGAATTCTTAAACCAGTAATGTCATATCTTAACAACTGCAGTATGGTAGGCAGAAATAAGATGTTCATTACTTGACAGCATCTAATTTCGCTGCGGTGTTATCAAGTACAGAAACCATTTGTGAATGTTAAAGCAGCACAATCAAGGGGAATTATTGTTACAAGAATTTGAAACTACCCTCAATTTATTCACTGAAAAAAAGTTTATATTGTATGTACAGAGAACAGCAGAAACAGTTCTTAATGATACACGGTTGTAAAAAGGAAAATTGCACTGTGCTTACATATTAGTCATTTTTTACCACCATAGTACCATATTGTGGATAATAAAACACAATGAGGGATGGTCATAAAAACACAATGAAACAATAACAATATATTTCTCATTTCTCCCAGGATAAAAAAAAAATCCCCCGAAACAATAGCTTTATGGGAAGAATCCGTGTGTCACAGGGGTGGCGCACAAACATTAATTACACAACACAAATAATAAACGTGCATTATGGGATATTATCAAATTTGCATATGAAAAAAATAACTTGTTAGATATTGCAGGCACTTGAACCCCTCCCCAGTTCATGGAAGCATCAGTTAAAACAGCTGCTGTGTCAGAGCTTAACCCCCCTCACCCTCACTCACACACACACACACACACCACACACACACACACACACACACACACACACACACACACACACACAGTCACTTTCCCCCATACAAATCAGACCCAGTTTAATTCTGCTCCAGAGTAAAACAAACAGCCGTGTGAAACTGACTGACAGATGAAGGAGATAAATGAAGAGGAAAAAGAGACAGCAAAAGTGAGCGCAGCCTTGTTGGTAACCTCCTGTTTGTACTGCCGACTCAGAGGAATAGTTGTGATTACTCCATTGACTGAATCATCTGCAAGGTCAGGCCTCCCATCTTCTCTCCCTCCTACTCCTTTGCTCTTCTCCCTCTCAGCAGCCAAATGGTTCATATGGCTGCCAAGACATATTCATAGACATATTGGAGCATCCAGTTACTGGCAGCCTTCACAGACACTTAAACACATGTCCACCTACTCACACACACACACACACACACACACACACACACACACACACACACACACACACACACACACACACACACTGAAACATTGGCAGATGAACAAACATACTAGTGCTGTATTTTACATACCCTTGTATGTGTGAGAACACAAATTCTTTCATGAATTTGTGAGGGCCACAGAACCTGAGCCCCAATAAACCTATAGATCCTACTCTGACCACTGCATGCATAATGGAAACCTTAATCCTCTTTCTAGTCTCAATCATAAAGGTTTATGATTGTGTTTAGTGTCACAAATGAATTCAAATGTTTAATAATAGGACATAGACAACCATTCTTTCTGTATGAACAACAGCTTGTTCATGACAATGGATAATATGTGTTTGCACATGAAGGTTTCATTTAAACAACTACTAAAAACTGTGTCTTGCAAATATGGCAGTGCATAGTTCCTGCACCATTTCTAAAAAGCATAGCATTTACATGCACTTACAGTAAGTAATCAGGAAACAGTTGGTGGTGATTTCATAAACATCATGCAAACCCGAAACCTGGTTTCCATAATCCATAATTCCATAATTACAAAAACCAAACAGATTGCTCCTGGTGAATGCAGATTTTATGGCCATGTATATGTGTAACCAGGCTTCTATTCAGCATTTTACATTTGCATGGCAAAGACTTCAGACAGGGAAAGTATTGCTGCTCCTTTACAGCAGGAAAGATCATTACATAAAACAATGCAAGTCCGACTAAAACTGAAACTGACACAAAGTAGCTTTTAGAAGTCTAAATGAGACAGTTTGTCTTGCTAAACATTTGAAAAGTAGTAATATTCAATCATATGAATCACAAAGCACATATTGTATTACTACAACAGTTCAAATAGTAGTTAATGCTAATGGGCTGGGACAGAAATCTGATTACCGACATGCTGCACGAATACACAGATTTACTGTAACCAGGTTACTACAGTAACTGTGTTATCTCTAACCTGGTTTCTTGAGTGCATGTAAATGTACCAAAGGGCAAAATGGCCCCCAAATCTGGTCCAATAAACAGTAGGTCAGAGTAATTTCTTAACTACTTCATATCAATTAAGTAATTTGGACCTCATTATAACTGCCTCGCATTGCAAAAAATGTCCTCAATCTGACAACTAAAAATTCTGGCTCTTGTTCTTACAAGGATGGAAATACAGGAACACAGAAATACACACACACACACACACACACACACACACACACACACACACACACACAAACACAAACACAGAGAGGGCCATACATATAGACTCTGACACACACTTTGAAAAATGCACCACTAATTATCGATTGAACAACGGAAAAGCTCCCAACTGGTTTTCTAGCAATGGACATAATCATGAAAGGAAAACAAAATCAGCTCTATTGTATCGGGCTGATGGATACGCAGTCCCACACTGAGGCCACCCACTGCAGAGTCGATGTGGTTTCCAATGTAACCACCCTGATGAAATATTCAGCGAGGAACAACTCAGACACCTGGGGGCCAACAGGCTTCGGTTACAGCCAAATCATTCTAGGCGAGGCCGGGGCCAGAGCCACGCCGACAAGGTCGCTGTTTCTTCCTTCTCGTCATACACGACAACATACACACACACACACAAAGGGGCCCCATTCATTTTTAATGAGGTACATTAATTAATAACCCAGACCTGACCCCATTTATACAGCTGGATTTCCCGGGTGGGTGGGACAGGGTAGGAATAAAGGAGACCTAAAGCTGTTTTCCTCCAGTGAGAGTGCCGTATGGTGAGGGTGACAATGTGAAGGGAAAAAAAGGGAGATAAAGCGGCCACCAGAGGAAGAGAGAATTCAGGATTATCATACTGAATACAACAGGGACTTGGAAGGAGGATACACACTCAGTGTTGTATCTGAAACCAAAAGGGACATTTGTCTGAGTTGAGGAGGGGGTGAGCGGTCAAGCTCTGACTGCACAGTTCACACAAACTGCTTAACCTCCACACTCTGTCACCACTCGCCCACTCCTGCCAGCATTCACACACACATAAACGCGGGAGTGCTCAACAAAGTCCGCATGAACAGCAGAAATAAGCCTCATTCACACAAGCGTGGTATCGACTGAGATCCCCGCCAGTGCCGAGTGGTACAAAAAAACCTGCCTGGGCCGTGTCTTGTGCTTGCTGTTATGATGTTTAGGTCAGACTGCTGTCAGATGTGGCCATGCAGTGATGGCTCAAACCTTGCTTTCTGCTGTGATGTCTGCCTCTACTGAATGTGTCAGATGGATGGGTCAAAGCTCCACATCATGAGCCAAAAGTGATGGGGCTGTTCCTACAAAAGGTGAAGGACAAGAAGGCACTTATACACATAGTTAGATGATCTTGATGCTGGATAGAAAAAGATCTGGAATCATTTCTTTTTGTGACAACTTAAACAGATAATGGTTCATATCATTAAAAAATCTTTTTTTAAATATTAACATTTTCTTTCAGCAGTCCCATAAAAATCTTTGTATCTCAGCTTTTTATAAAAACAGTCTCATTGCCCTCTTTGTGTTTTTCCCAGTTGATGCATCTTAATCAGTCCTACTCTCTCAAACATTTACAGTTCCTTAGCTACAGTCTCAGGAGTAAAACAGCCTCCCTTTCTCTGAACCCTGAAGTCTGCTGAGCTTGGCGAGCTGAGAAGGCGACGGGGGTACGTCTTGTCTGTAGGGGCCCTTGGACTGAGGCGGGGCCTGCACCGGGGCAGAGACTGGGGCTTGAATGTGGTCTCTGTTGTGGTCGTAGGTGCTGCCGCTGGGGGTTTCCTGTGCAGGAGGTGGCCTGGCTTTGCTGGCCTCCTGCTCTCTGCGTCTCTGCTCCTGCCTCAGCAACTCCTGAGTCTCTAGGAGGACACGGGCATTGAAGCTGGACGTTCCCAGGTAGCCGTTTCGTGATCCCTGGCCACCAGAGTAGCGGGGGTTCTCCTTGGATGTCTGGAATCCCTCTGCGGGCATGTACGCCTTGTCCCATGAGTCCTGGGACACCGTGCTGGGGTTCTTACGAGGTTGCCTAAACAGACAAAGACAGGTAAAGAGGTCAATCGAGCTGTTGAGTGAGTCACCTTAAACAGCAGCTGAATCTAAAGGGAACAGAGGATGATAGCGGGTAACTGCTCAGAAAAGGTAGCTTTTTCTTGCAGTGGCCCCTGGGTCAGCACTATTGAAGGGGAATTCAAAAGGAACTGCACTTCAGCAGAGACTGTGGCCATTTTCACATTTTGTGAGATTAAAATGGGAATGTGCTAGTGGAGTTGATTTAAAATACTGAAACATGAGAGGAGCAAAGAGGGATCTGTTATAGCCTGCTGATTACACTGAATCCTGTGACATAAAGACTGAGACAGGAAACAAACGGGGGAAGCCTGAAACGCCCACGGGATTATTAGTTCCACATTGTAAACAAACACAAATGTTAAAACCTCCCCAAGAAAAATGGCTGCGTTCATCCATTTAACTCCTTTTTGGAGATGCAGACGGGTGCACTTACAGCACAGACAGAGTAATGGCGGGCCTCACGGCGCAATCCGCCTTCTACTCATCTTCAGCCTGCCTGCCAGCCCCCTGACAGGACGGCCCGAGATGCACACACATATTATCTCTCATACAGGAAAACTAACACACATGCTACCCTTTCCAGAAATTGGTCCTGGAAAGCCGTCATTGGGAACTGCCAGGTTTTTGGCTAAAGTGTTGAGTCTTCTCCTCCATTATTAGGATCCATTAAGGCTGGTGTGTGATGGAAGACCTGTGACAGTGTCTTTAGCGTTAGGGGTGCTAAGAGAAATCCCATTCACACCTCACTGACCCACTGTGCGCTTAAAAGCCTGCAAGGGAGACAGGGGCCCAGCATGCTTTTAAGCCAAAACGACTGCATTTCTTATCTGGCCGAGTCTCATTCCAGAGAGGCTGAGAGGAACAAAAGACAGAATATGCTATTTATTGTTCAAACACTTTCTGACAAAATATTTAGCTTTTATTTTTTAACTGAAACCTTACAGCAAGTTAAATGGGTATTGTACATGGAGGGAATGACAATAAATTCTACCCTGAACCTTGATATCTTATTTTATATGTACTGCATGTTGCTTGAGAGGGAAAAATGACTTAGGGGGGTCAGCAACCTCAGGCACACAGTAGATTAACCACTTGCATGCTAACAATAAGTGTGCATTTTTTGCAAATGTTAAAGTGCCCTCTTATCCTCATGCAAAATGAACTCTTTCTTATCCACTGGCAGCGTCCTGTCTTATTAAAGCACATCATAGGAATTCTCGTACATGATTTAAACTCAGATGTGGATATTTCCGCACGTATGGCAGCCTGCTCTCATACAGTATATCACAGCAATTATCTTCATTATGGGAGAAAATGCTTTAAAAAAACATTACTATGCAATATCCATTACTATGGAATGGATACAATTACAGACTTGCACGAGATTAAAATTTTTATGTGGTGTCATAATTAAACGTAATAATCTTAATGTTGATATGGCACACTGATTTAATATAACATTTTAATATACCAATTATTTTCAAAAAGGTTGTCGGCCCTTGACTTAGATGATAAATTTGAGCCAAAAGTAAGGGGCTACTGAAGCTATAGTGATAGCACTTGGTGGATGCAAAACTGTGATTGGCTGCTTGTGCTTCCAACGACATCTTCCTGATGGTGGTCGAGACTGTTGTTCGCACCGACATTGTTAAGGAGGCTGAAGAATTCTGCTGCTTTTCAGTAACACCTTGTTCACACAGGCCGACTGAGCAGGCTTGGTGCCTATGGCGCTGTCAGCTGCATGTATGTATGTTTCCTTATACACTTTTCTTTATATTTTGTCCATGAAAAAGCAAAAATTTCATTTGATTTAATATAAAATCCCATATATGTAGTTTAGAGAGAGACCCTTCAACAAATTAAGTTGTGTTAAATAAAATATTACTACGGTGCTTTTACTTTGAAAAGGAAGTTTAAACTGTAGTGAAATATGTGGATATGACTATGCACACGGCTCACGGTAAACCTAGCAAAATCATCTCCACTGCAAACCTTCTGCTATACTACATGTGAATGTAAACACTCTGACTGTACCACAGTGGTCTCTTATTCAGTTATGAGTCAAACCTAAATATTGTTATAATGTTGTAATTGTAACTGGCCTGTAAGACAGGACTCCCATTTACTCCTTGAATCAGGCATTCATTTCCAGCAATGCAATTTTCAAGAAAATAGCAAAACATTTAAATGACAATCATCTTTCTTCCAACCATTTAATTGAACTCTTTCTTGTAAAACAAAATTTTCCTATCACCATTTCTATGTAATTCTAATGAGAATCCCACAATTCCAGCAATGGATGCATTCATGGTCCACAATTTCTAAGGGAAGGGGAAGAGCTGCCATTGTGATGTGAGGATCTGTGCCTTTGTGAGCTTAGGTCTACATTTATACATATGTGTGAAATTGTGCATGCAATTATGTACTATGCATGTGCAACACAAACACATGATCTTGTTCCACTCTGTGTATGCATGTGTGTACATGCATGTAGAGCATGTGTAAGTATGAGGGTAATTGGTGGAGGGGCAGATGTAGGGACAGACTGTAGAGAGAGCCCCACCACATGCTCCATATCTGGGTTTCACTGTCTGGGCGAGCCGCCATGCATTTACACCCTTTCAGAGCAGCCAGCACTGCTCATGAGGGAGCCGCCTATTTAGAAACCCAGGACGCCTGTTGCACGAGGCAGCGATCTGCGTTTCCAGAACAACCTTTTAGTTTTTAAAGTAGATAAGACAAGAAGGGAGATTTAGGGGGAAAGTCTTTGGTGGCGATGAGAAGAGAGCAGAAATGGCATTGTTCCACAGGAATGCAATCGTGATTGATGCGTCAGGGGAGCTAGTTCTCTTATCACCTCTACTCCTGCGCCAGAATATGTCACAAAGTAGATTAGTTACATTTACAAAGGGAGGGGATGGGAAAATACATCATGCCAAAGAGTGGGGTAAATTTAGAATGACAGAACATAACAAACAAAGCCAGGAAGTTGGCTCGCAGAGACATTTGTGGCCGCTGTGTGTTTCTTTAAAACAGCTGGGAAGAATCAGAGTTTATGAGAAGGAGGAGAAAGCACACATACACATGCACAGACACAAAATAATTAGGGAAAAAAAACAAATGCATTCAATGGGCAGTGGAACAATCTTTGCTATATTGTAGAAATAAATTGTCTACAAACCTGGAATAATGTTTTCTTTATAGCAGGGAACAATGTTTTTTTGGCTGAGGAATGCAAGAGCTGCATGGGTGGATGGTAGAGCTACTGGCTGCTCACTTAGACCTCCGTTAAGAACCTTATCTTGACCGCGCTTGTGTGTGTTTGTGTGCCTTTTTGTGTGTGACTGCGTCTCTTTCAGGCTAATCAGTGGTCTCTCTTACTCCTACTAACACACTGGTTCCTCTCCCGGCCCCTCTCGCCCTCCACTGCCTGTCACCGCTAATCCTGCTCCGACAACAAGCCTTCATTAGTGCTCTTCCAATCCTTACATCCCAGACAGCGAGCTAAGCCTGGCCGTCATCAGATAACCAGCTACCATGGCTTCTTCTGGAAGCTCTTTGGGAAGGAGGGGTTTTGTTTTTGTGAGGGAATGTCCCCTTTTGGCTGTACGGCTGACTGCTCAGGCTTCCTGTTTTGGAAGAGAAGGACAGGATGAAGGGGTTCCAGAAGAGAGGTGGTTGGAGTTACAGGGAATTGTGGTTATTAATCTGAGGATGTAGGACTTTAGCTCTTTAATGAGGAGCCGTGCCGAGACACGAGCTCTGGAAAGCCTTAGCTGGGGTCAAACGTCAAGCCTGAGCTCATGCGACTCTTTGCTAAAAGACGCTATGAGATTATGAGAGGAATGCATATCAAAGGCCATCCTCGCCTGGCTTTTTGGCCGGCCAGACAAACTTTCCCAAGAGAAGTAGCTCACTGAGAGGGGAGGGCTGGAGGCAACTGTCACATCACATGAGATGCCAGCAGATAACACCTATGAAGGGAATGCACAGATTGGTCTGGCTTATACAGGCCACATTGATTATGCGTCCATGTGGACCGCAAATCCATGGCCATAGACAGAAACATGTTTTAATCGACCTGACTGTGACTGTTCAGAGACAGCAGAGCAAAAGAGAATGCTATGAAGAAATGATTGCTGTTTGTGTAGGGAGAGATTGAAATCACAGGAGAGCAGAGTTATTCTGTCCAAGAAAATTAAAAGACCACACACACACACACACACACACACACACACACACACACACACACACACACACACACATATATATATATACACACACACTTTAAGTGTTCTGTCTTTGTTTAAACTGCAACAAACTTAAATAAAACAGACTTCACTTGCAACACTTTAGAACATAATATGTGTCATAATGAGTGCTGTCAAACGATTAAAATATTTAATCGCGATTAATCGCATTAATGTCATAGTTAACTCGCAATTAATCGCACATTTTTTTCTATTCTAAATGTCCCTTGATTTCTCTTACTCATTTTAATGCTCTTATCAACATGGAAAAGTGGATCGGCTTGCTTTGTGCAAATGTTGTTTTTATTGAGAATTCCCATCAGCTGTGTGCTTGGCCATCAAGTGGTATTTCAGACTGGACGTGCTGCGATGATAGCTCAGTTCACAACGACAAAACACACAGATCACTTTGGTTTTGTCAATGGAACCATTTGGCAACTTTTTATAAAGTAAACATTAAGAATATTATTGGCATCCATTTCGGTGTCTCGCACTCGCCATCCACTCAAAACGTAACGTCTACTACTCTTAAACAAGTGTGTGCGCCGTGCCTGTTGTTTTGTTTCCGGTCTAGCTAGAGCCGGTGTGGTGTTGTAGTTTTTCTAACGTTACTAGTTGTTGCAACAGCATGTGAAAAAAAACTACAAAGTATGCTAGGCCAAAAAGAACGTTAATCTCGCGATAAAAAAAAAATTGACGCCGTTAAAATGGGTTTGCGTTAACGCCGATAATAACGCGTTTAACTGACAGCACTAGTCATAACACAAAAAAGTCACCTTGGATTGTTTTTAATGAGGAAATAATGTTTATTTTATTACCATCTGTAAATCTGTGCGTCAGTCAGTCAAGTATAGAATTTGTATCTTTGGTGACTTTCTCTTTAAGGATGTTTAAGGATGTAAGGCTTAAAATGTGGAGATTTTCCACCAGCAGAGCTTCAGAGGCTTGGTAGAGACACAGATACACACACCGCCATCCAACGGCTCAAGATGTAAGATACGGTAAGCTTTATTGGCATCTCTTTGACAAATATGCAAAGGAATCGAAACAGGAAGATGGAGAAGATGAAGAGCAGCGGTTGTAGCTCTGAACCCAAGATGTGTAAGGCGAGAGATTGCCAATAGAAAATTCCTTTTAAATACGATATTGGAGCTGTTATTCATTATGAGGGAAGTGTTGGGGGTGGGGGGCTGTGACAAAGTCACCACTTCCTCAGGGTCAGCATTGACTTAATGAAGTTGAATATCAGTCAAATAATTCCAAGTGATCACATTAAATGATTTCATTCAAAGAGTTCTGCTAAGAATCATTTAAAGTGGCTTTGTGGTGATTGACTTCATAGCCAAAGTGACACGCTATAAAAAGTGTAGAGAAGAAAGGGTGAAGGCACAAATACGAGGAAAAGAAATGGATGGAAATCAAAAAAGTCAAATGAAGAGGTTGAGAAAAGGGCAGGAAGAACGTGATAAGTCACAGAGAGGGGAGGGAGAGAGGGACACAGAGACAGACAGACGGACGGACAGACAGACAGACAGACAGACAGAATTGATTAGATTGAATAAAGGGAGAGGATGTCTCACCGTGGCAGGGAGCTGTACTGTCTTTGTGCTTGCTGGAAATCATCTCTGTCCTCTTGCTGCTGTTTCTGGACCTGAGACTCGACTGTTACTGAATGGCGTCCGCTCGGTGTCTCCGTCCCATTGCTCACCTGTAACTTCCACAGGTACACAAGTCAAGATACACACAGTTCAGGCACAGCAACATAGAAACGAAACATTTTTGTCTTTGGGTTACAAAACACACTCACACACACACCTACACACACCTACACACACACACACACACACACACACACACACACACCTACACACATACACACACACACACACACACACACACACACACGCCTACACACACAGACACAGATGATGGAATATTTTTCCCTCAGCACAGCAGGTGGTTTGACAGTGGGTGTCAGGCTACCTTCAGGGAACAGGTAGTTAGTAGGTGTGATTCTATGATGACAGTTCATTGAAAAACGCACCTGTGCCAGTAGATGTAAAGTCCCCTGATAATATTGTTAAAGGAATAATTCAGCAAGATACGATCTTTCTATCAATTACGTATTCCTTGGTTTACCACACTGCTAGACAGCACAGATTGCAAGATTCTTAATGGAAAATGAGGCCTCAAAGTGGTCAGATCAAAGATCCATTTTAACAACAGCAAAGTCAACTAACTAAACTTAACATTAGCTGTACTTATTATATCATAAATACTTCATAATAATTCAAAATGGCTGAAAGCACCTTTCCAATGCACTTTAGTTGATGTGCTTAGATGTCTTCAATGTAATTTTCTCTGATCTCCGATTTAATTTCTACATCAGTGACTTTGTTAGTGACTTTGTATTTGTTCCTTTGTAGGATTTAGAATGCATTTCTCATTAAAGGACGTCACAATCAAACTACAGACTGGCCACGTTATTGTTGGGCCTTTAGTCTTGGATTTTCTGTCAGCTGTTGATGGAGCTCTTTTTTGTCTGCTCGGCCATAGTGGCTATCAGTGCTTATGCTAACTAATCTCTTTTGGTTTACTTTTACTAAACAGTGCTTTTTATATGATATACCCTTATACATAATATGATAATCTTTTGCTAAACTGCTGTGTACGCTGTGTGTTTCTGAACAAAGTAAGCACCACTATGCTTCATTTCACAGTTTTGCGTGTGACTTGACTACACACCACTAACCTGTACCAGTGTGTATGTGTGTTTGTTGTCTGATCATCGGAGGGGTTGACATGGAGATATCATCTCCCTCAACGCTAGTGCGCTGCTAACGAGCTGGCTGATGAAAGAACATGACAAGCCAATTAAACAGAGGCGAGCTGAGGAGGTGTAGCGAGTGTGGCTTGACCAAGTGTCAGTTTTCATGAGGCTTGGACGCTAATGTGGTAGGCAGGTGGGAGTGTGGACGTGTTGTGTGCATAGATAAATATTAAGCAACACTTTTCACTATTTTACCAGCAGCTGAGTTTTGAAACTGAACAGAACCGCCAAAGAATCTGCGTTTAATAGCTTGGAAAGAGATTTTCTTAAATTTGGTGGTATGGGTAGGGGGTAATAATACATGATGGAATGGATTGATGGGGTAAAGGTGTGATGGCAGATGGAAAGGCTGTCAGCAAAAATGTCTTCTTGGAAACATCTTGTGGTCTTGAAATGGCTGCTTTCCTCCTCACTTGGACAGCTGCAATAACAGCGCAATTACATTTCACTCAGCGTCAATAACAAGTCCTTTCTCAAGCCCTCCAAGTCCTGAAAACATAATAGTATTTCACGTGGGTGAAGTGAATTTGACTCATATGTTTCAGATTTTGCTGTAACAACACGTTTTCCCCTTTCAGAAAGTGTAGAGCACATAAACGAATATCAGATGAACAGTAAGAGAAAAGGAGAAATTATTTTACTGGGGCCAAATGCGGTTGTGAGAAAATAATTAGTCACGCACACTGAGGGTTTTTAATGTGATTTGAAAGGAAGTGGTGAGGAATCCGGAGGTGTTTGACGCTTCGGTTTCAAACTGAAGGGTTGAGGTGGATGACGCCATGCCAAGAGAAATGCATGAGAAATAGCCAGGAGAGAAAATCAGTCAGTGTAATGGCATTATCCAGGGAAGGAGAATCAGATTATTCCATGTTAGGCCTGGAATACAATGCCATATAAAACATGACATTTGTTGAAATCGAATCAAAGAGACGTCCCTGTTCGTTTTTATCCAATAATGTGAAAAATGATGTCAATACGGCACGCTTTTATCTCTCCCTTGTTTCCTTGGTGGTGTCACAGAGAACGGAGAAGAAAATAATTCTCCACCTGTTTAAACACAAGAGCGTTCACAGACGGTGAGCTGAGGGGGGAAATAATTATGAAAATTATTTGCAGCTATCAAAAATCCGGGACCAGGAAAGCAGCTGGGAAGTTGAGATTTAAAAGTTCAAAACAAGACAGCCAAGGTGTAATATTTCTTGGTTCAGAGCTGGTCACAGACCTTTCAGATATCAAAGCAGGTTGCTGTGATGGGTCAGCCCTAACATATGGCTTTACCGCCCACGCTCCTCATGATGTTTGTAGCCCGACACATAGGGAACAGTTTTAAGAGAGCAGCCGTGCTTGTACACAAACACACATATGGAAGGCATTTAAGTTGCTAATGGGCAGACAGACCTGACAAAAGCCCAGTTGGATAATGATTCTCTCTTAAAGCCCTCGCACGATCCAATTCCGCCAATTTATTATAAGCTAGCCCAGTCCATTTGCGGTCGCCGGAGTGTGTAGCTCCGGGGGCGGAGTATCCATCTGAGAGCAAGCAGTGTGGTCTGCCATTTCCTGGTCCCTGCACCAGGAAACCATGGTGAATGGGAGGTTGGTTTGGTTATCTCCACATCACTTAAGGACTCCACAGCACGCACAAATGGAAGAACAAAATGTTTCATGTTTATTGTGAAGATATCTGTGGATGAATGTGTGGGCAATAGTGCTTAGATATGTAATAATGTCTACATAAGAGAAGTGTAATTGCTTTGTTCTCCTCTCCTCCTGTTCTCCATCTTATCTGTGAACACACACAGTTTGGTAAGTAAATTGAGCTCAATAAAAAAGCTGGGTGTGAAGGCATGTTGCATACATCTGTGCACATGCAGATGTGTCTGGAACAGCACAACAATATTGTATTTGCTAAAAAAAATACATTTCACACTCCCAACAAGCTAAATAACTTGATTGTGAGGTGCAGCTCAAATATGTTGGCAAGTCCTATTACTTACAGCGACTGTAATCATGAGATCAGTCCATGCTTGCTACTTGCACATCACTGCACAGCACTATCCATAAATCACCCATGCAGCCTTGACAGTTAGCATTAGCATAGTTGTGCAAACTGAGAAGAAGCTTGACAAAAGATCGATTTAAATCGTCATAATTGACGTGACCAGATCTGGCTGAAAAATACAGAAATGTTGAGTTATTTTTAGTGATAGCAGCAAGAGGACCATAAGTCCAAGTCACATCTTGAAGAAAGAGAATCCTCTCAGCATGGAAAAAGCTTCACAAATATAATCAAGAGTGGCTAAAGGATTTGGCTGTTGCTTTCTAAAGTATGTTCTGCTCCTCTTCTACGGGGTCTTTGAGTTCAAACTGTGAAAAACACCTAGGAGTCAGCTGGCTTACCTATAATCAGTTGTATTATTCCAAGACATTTACTACGCAACAATGTGTGATGTTGTGATGATTGATGATGATGATTCTTGTTCCAAATACATGCAATTATGGACTAAAACTTTTTTTTTAATGAGCAGCATACCGCATTCCATGTATTGTGTGAATGGTTATAGTCAGGGGCTCACACACTGTCATGAGCTATGCTGTCTTAACTCTAACCCTTAGCCTCTGGGAAGTCAAGTGACTGCAGCTAAAAGTGGCTTATGAGTTATTATCCCCACATGATCACCTAGGAAAGAGTTAGCTGTACACAAACACCCAACGATATGTAAGCACCATACTTAGAGTAACCCAAGTTTGCATAAATACAACAAATGCTTGTAGACACATGTATCCTGGTAGCAGGAGATAGAGTGATAATAAAATCAAAAGAATTCACATAAATATGGGCTTTACAAGCTGCTGTTGTGTGTTTGATCCAAGGTACCAGCATGGCGCTCACACTCCTCTGTGTGGTCATGCTCACTGAGGCTCCAACCCAACAGCACAAATTGATTTTATTGCCGTAGACAGAGAGAAAGAGAGAAAGAGTAAAAAAGGCAACGCTTTGGAAAATACATAGCTCTTTATGATGAACATCTGGAAATCCCCTCTCACAGAGCAGCGAGGAGGGGAGGGAGAGAAAGCATCCCAGCTCTAATTGTGTGTGTTGGCTAGGGGGCTACATGATAGACAGGGCTTCTCGTGTCCCGGTCATTATTCCATTAAGAAGGAGCTGGGCTTCGAGGACTGGCCTCGGCGTTGTCGTTACAGGCGTTCACAGGAGACATACCTGAGCTCAGTCTCCAACACCCCAGAGACAAGCCGGGGGTCACAGAGAGGGAGCCTCAGACTTCACGCGGCTCAATGTGTTCCCTCTGTAGCTGTTCCTCATTATCATTATCATTCCCCAGGTCATATGTGACAGCAGTTTATTTGGGATCTGCAGCAGACACTATTGTGTACTGCAGTACTAGGCATACTGTTGGACTGATCTGTAATCTTAAGAATGTGACCACAGGCAAAAAAAGATTTAATTAAAAGATTTATTTCATTTCTTAAATAAAAATATGGGCAGACCCCGTGCATTTTTATTAATCTTGCACATTGCGTTACCACTACGAATTCTAACAGGCCTTTCTGCACAGACTGAACCTGCGACTTCTGTGCTCAGTACGGACCAACGGACCAGCCATGACGTGGAGCTGACACTGCTTACACTGCTTATGTTAAGCTTGGTCGCTTTTGTCCAGTGACAATAAACTTCATTCAAACAAGATGACTGATTCCTAAAAAATTTTGACAAAAAAAGGAAAAGAGGCATTCCTTTATGCAATTCTATTATGAACGGAAAGTAAGAAGAAAACAAGACAGATACCCAGCCACAGTGGGTTGAAGATGCAGACAATCTGGTCTGTCTGCAGCAAAGCTTAGTTTTATATAACAGTCGTCTACAGACTTAGCCACAAAATGTAATATACTACTCCAGTAATATTAAAACAAACTCAGTAAAGTTTATGATGGATCTTTTGACAGCCGCCACGAAGGAATTAGGATCATGGAACTGCTCAAACAAGATTTTCAGACCTGCCAGAAATCCAACAGATTGACTGAGAGATTGTTTATCATTCAGACAATTAATTGTTGCTGTGCCCCCCCTCAAACTGCATCTGGCAGATATTGTTCATTATTTTTTTTAGTCAGGGGTGAACAATTTAGGGCTAAAATTGGGCTTAATTTGTACAGTTTTTGGCTTTAGTTGAGTTTCAGACTTCATTTTTGAAACCTAGAAACAGATCTTGACAAAGCAGTCTTACCTCTAGGGCCTAACAGCTACATAGCAGTGTTGTAAACATTGGATGTTACGGGGATTGTGATAAATTCAAATGCATGTTCAGGTTGCATAAAAATATTTATTTTGCCCAGATTTTATGTTCTTTATAATACAAACGTTTTCCTAAAATTAGATATTTTCTTTTTTGAATGTTTACAATATAGTGAATGGTGACCCTTATTTTGTGATATATATCGCCAGATCTTTGCAAAGACACAACCTTAATGAGAACGTTTTCATGACATCTGGGAAAACTCCATCTTCTGATGCAGATTATGGTATATGATCCACAACAGCTACTAAATGAACCTTGAGGTGAGATTGCTTTGTCAATAGTACTTTAATTGCAATATCTGGATAAGTGATTGAGCAAATCTGAGCTGCTGCTGTTTGTTTTTCCAACAAATATACAATAGAAATATTACAACCGAGCCATGTGTTGAGATGCCAGCAGCTGCTCCTGTTCTGGCTTGTAGATCTGCGTGGGAGCCATTACGATGCAACCTTGAGCACTCAGGGACAGCGTGCATCAAAGTGCAGTTTTGCAGACTTTGATGTGGTAGGCATTTAACTACCTTCTCGAGCATCTTGCCTTTTCCTGGTTACATTCACTGAATGTTTTGATTTACAAAAAGTGGAGGTCACGGAGGTTTCACTTTCATCACTGCAGACGACATTCAGCAATGACACAGAGTGAAATCCACTGTTGAAAAGAAAGATGTCAATTTCTGTACAAAAAGTACCCATAATAGGTTAGAATGGATCACAGACACAAGGTTGTGTTTTTGTGTGGGTCAAAATGTTTTCTAAAAATCCTATTGTCGTCACTAATGCCTCCACCTACGCTTATGAAAACCCAGAGCTGAATGCAACAAGTTCATTCTCTGAAATATACCCAGAGTTTTTAGTTTCACAATCAGTCTAAAAATATAAAGTGTAAATGGAAAGTACAAATGAAGAATAAAAGTTTATTTCTCTGTGCTTTTACCTTTCTTTCTCCCTCCCTCTGCAAGCACATCTCTGAAGGATGTTTCTGCCTTTATTCTTCTATTTACCAACACATCTACGGTCATATGTGTGAATTTTTGCCTCCTCCTTTTTATCCTCTGGTTTTCATATCAAAATGCTTGCCCCGTCCGCCTCAAAGAATAGAGCCATATCCATTCTGCTTTGCATGACACTAAGACATGATTTCCCTTGAGTTCCTTTAATCAGTGTCGAAACATAACATGGGTACGCCTGTGTCTTTCCTAACAAGCTCTGCCATTGTGAATCCTTTTTCACAGGACTAAAATAACATGAAAGAGGACTAATAAAATAGACTTCAATACTCCAGGGCCGGGCCTATATCTTATTACTAGTGGAATGGAGGGGGTATGCTCAACACTGTCAACAATCACAAGCAATTAGGAGCTCAGAGGCTCAGAGAGAAGGACTGAGACTGCTGAGTACTAAACAAACAGTTAACGTCTCATTTTGACAGCGAGAACGGGAAGAGAGAGGGAGATTAAGAAAACAGTGGAGAGAGTTGTCCGCTTTCAGTGATCTTCAACCATCAGTAGGACTAACACTGGAGGAAATCCTGAGCAAATAAAGTCTGCGTTCCTCTGTACAAAAACATGGTGGGAAGTATGCTGTTACGGCTGTTACAAACTTGGATAGGAAAAACAGCGGATGAGGTTCCTGCCATATCAAACCTCCACTCCAGGCCAATTTAATTGACAAACTGACACTGATAATTCTCCAGAAAATTGGATGCCAAATATTTTAACTTTCAAGGTCTGACATTCTGACCCGTAATTTAGAAAACAGCTCTGCTTTGTGTAACAATTAGCCGTCTTTCCTCCACAACCAGGTCAGGAAAGTCACGGGACAAAAAAAAGCTATGTCTGTCTCAAGCCATTACACTGCGAAAATATACAAATATTTGACCTCTAACTTGTTCCTGCTCGGTTATATGAGTTTGGCTCGATTATTGTTTGGTCATTTTTTTTCAAAAAAGCGGATGTATGAACTTAAATAAAGTGTTAAACAATAAGTTATATCACTCGAACAGAAGTTAGAGTAAAGTAAATAGTGGAACTGCATGTTAAAATCATTAGTGATTTAATATGTATGTGGAAAGATTAAATGAAGTCTTTCTTTACTTAAACTCCAGACGCAGCTGAACTTTTTGAACACAGCAGGAAGGAATATGAGCTCAAGTCTGAATGAATTAACAAAGGAATTAACTTGATTGCATTTTTCCAATTATGACGAGTAAATCCCATTGTTGGTACAGATCAATCATGGGAGAGGAGAACGGCTTAAAAAAACAGTTTAATTTAAAAAATTTTAATTTAAAAATCCCTTTAATCAAGTCTAATGAAAATTAAAATGAACAGTGTGCCTCACTGTCTTCAGCTTCTCTCCCCTCACTTTGCCTCAAAGTCCTTAACAGTCACTTTTCATCAAATGTTTCCACCGTTCAGTTCCTCTCCTCTCTCCTGCCATAAGTGTGTCATATGTCCAAGACGGAAAAGGCAGAGACAGAGATGAGTAATTAGGAATTAGTTCCGGGTCAAAGGTTGAATTCAAAATTAGTCAAATATATTTGGCAGGAGTTGGGACAGCAACCTGAAGTTTTATCAACACGAGTCAGATAGTTTGGCAGTCGTACAACGCATACGAATGAGGCACTTCATGGATCCACTGAAAGTTGATATTGTGCCGGGCTTCGCACTGTGTTATATCAATTATTATCCATTTTACAAGTAAGATTGTTATTGTTGTTAATCCCAGGATGCATGAGTTTATGACTCTACTTAATTGCAGTCTGCAGATATATCTTCTCCTGGGAATGATCGCAGGAAACACATCACATTTATGCTCAGTGTTTCTTTTTCCCACTTTGTATCACTAACATCAGCTGGAAAGAATACAGTTTACAATTATGTGTTTATCTGCTGTATATTTGATCAAATGAAATGGGTGACAGCTATAAACATCAAGAGAATACCAATAATAAAATGTATTTAGTTTTGAAATTTTGATGATTGTACAATGATATTATTATGCTGTGTTATATTGCCCAAACTCTGATTCAAGTAAGGTCATGTCACTAGCAGTCAAAGAAATACATTTCAGATCAGGTTCTACAGGAATAAAATTATTTGAGTGTGAGAAATCAATTAATCAGTGTGTCCAGTGGTGCATCAGGGCAAATCACTCTAAGAGCTCTGAGTATAGGGTATTTGTGTTTCTGGGTCTGTGCAGCTCAGCGCCACTCTGATGGAGCGCAGCTCCTATCGAACACTCACCCAGGACTGGTTAAAGCTGTAGGTGTGCCGAAGGTCCTCTGGGTCCTCTTCCTGCTTGGCCTGCTGGAACTCATGCCTCAGCCTTTGTATCCGGTCGTGGTTACTGGGAGCCATCTCACTGCTGGGAGAGAGAGGAAGAGGAGGTGAGATAGTGGAACTAGAAACCAGATAGCAGTATTAGTGGTTATTTGGTGTTCATTTTTCAACAAGCACATAGCTATGTTGTTACTGATGCCTTTTCATATCTGATAATTCACCCCTCTAGACTGTGTTGAGCATCCCTTAATCTGACAGTCTTGATTCCCTTTTGCATACCTGACTGACATCTCTATGTGCTTTTTCTTTCCACCCTCCCTTCTTCCAGCCTCCAATCTCCTGAGCACCCCTATAACTGAAAGTGTCCCCTGTGCACCATTGTGAGTGATGCATGTCCCTTTTAGACTGCAGGAGAATGTTGGCCTTTTATGGTACGCAGTCATTAAACACTGTGGAAAACCCTCATTTACATCCCCTTCATTAAGAGGCTTTGAGGGGCCTGTCAATAGGAATCAATAGCCTTGCCTCAGCTTAATCAGGCTCTCCTTTTATCACCAGCTACAGAGGCAGCACATGACAAAACGCATAATTATGATGAGACAACTGGCTTGATAATAAGCCTCCATTTATGCATACCACAGGGATGAAAGTGACCAAAGGTTAGGAATTTGTGCTGGGAGGGGATAGGAGCTTGGGGACGTAGGGAGTGGGATTGATAGGGTGAGGGAAGGAAAGGGAGATAAAGGTAGGAGGGGTGTTCTCTGGGGTGGTGCTGAGAGAAAAAGGGAAAGGTTAATCAAAAGCATGTGAGAGAAGGAAGAGAAACTAAGTCAGCTAGGGCCTGACACCCTGTCATTGTGTGTGTCCTCCTGAGTAGCACTTACAGGTGGCACACCAGCGGTGGAAGTGATTGCTTATTTGGGCCCAGAGGATTCTGGGCGCAATTATGGCGATAATTGCAGATTAGAATGAGCACATCCTTCTGATGATAATGGGCACTAGGACATGCTGCCAATCAAGCTTCATTAAAAGCACAATAAATAGCAGCTCATAAAGGATGAACGGGTCTCGGTGCATGCCCCTGAGTAGCACTTGGCGAGACACGGTTATCGTGTTATTCGTACTGCCTGATCAAAATCAATTGTATTAGTTATACTCCATTTGATTCCTATAGCCTTATGTGTGTGGGAGCGCGGGAGCGTACATTAGGTCTTTTATGTGGATGTGGGCAATTAAGTGGCTCACTAGGGTGTGAGCTGGCTTATGCTTTTAGGGAGTGGGGTGATGGCGAAGTCCTTCTATTACTGTTCATTACTAAATCAATGTTCCTTTTATATTTGCATGAGGTTAAACAGCATATGCAATGTTAATGAAATTTTATTTAATTTAAACCTAATTGTAGTCTATAAATAACAGAGCTACATAGACTATATGTGAAAATCTATGGCAACACTTAAAGGCTCATAAGAGATGGGATTCCCCCAAATTTTCTCTCTTTTATTGTACAAGTTTCTATTACTTTTAACTACAAAAGTAGCGCACAAGAGTTATTAAACCATTATCAAACCATTATCAGCTTCAGAATGTACCAATGTACATCTTTTTGTTAATGCAAAAAAACACCGATATAGCAAAAGGATTTTAGATTAACCTAAAGATATATTCGAAGAAAATGTGTGTGCCTGAGCTAAATCGTACATAGCATGCAATTGAGAGGAAAAAATAAACACATATGCAATTCTGAATTAATTTTCCTCACATTTCCAAACATGTTGAAATACAGTATATGTCATCATCCCTGCTCGAGAAAGATGTTTGACAAGAATGTAATGGGTGGGAAAAGACCAAACATAGATCTGGGAAGTCCAATGCATGCAATTAGTTTAATCCCTGAGGCTGGTCAAAGAGAAGACCAGGCTGTCTCCAAACAAACAGCCTCATAAATTTTTCTCCTTGACCCTACAGGGAGGGCCAGTGCTAGCATCAGCATCTCAAAACGTGCACCACTAAGCTAGAGGAACCAGAGGGGGCAGTGGGGACCAGCTGGGGATCCAGAAAAAGGGCCACAAGCTAGGATATAAACTGGCTGCTTGAGTCCAATACACTTCCTACACAAAAAGACCTATTGCCCTTCTCTCGCCCACTGAGGTGTCAGTAGAAAGAAGAGTATACTGTATATGACCAAATGTATGCTCTAGTGTGTGGTGGATGAAGTAGTGGGGTGTGGAATGGGGGAAGATCAGCGAAGACAAGATCTCCAGCAAATTAAAGAACTAGCAGCGAGGAACTTCAATATATTTTTCAAAGTGCTACAAATGGAAATTGTATCGCATAGGGGCTGGGAGTGGGGGTGGGATTTTACGAGGGGTGAATTTGTCATGGCAGTTCAAAGGAGGCCTGTGCAATATCTAGATTATCTGCAGGGGCTTCTCCTCTTGGTCCTTCACCCACCATGGGGGTACCCAGTTGATGGGATTCTTGAAAAGCAATCCATGGATTATTCCAATGTAAATATATCCATATGGTAGGAAAAAAGAGCCGGGAAGCTCAGCACCGAGGAAGAGCGGGAATCAAAGAGGCACCAGAAGCTGCCCACTATCACTGTAGCAGCCGGTAGCAGGCCTGTCTCCATACATAAAGAAGATGGATTCAGCCGCCTTCTCTGAGAGCTCCCCAATGCTTGGGCACCTCATTGTTTAATTAGTCAGCATGATCGTTGCTGATGCATCAGGTGTCACTGCTTATAAATTCCCCTGTGAATACATCAACGTCTGTAATGGGCCTGAAGAACAAGTGCTGAAAGAAAAGATTGGGGAAAAACTGGTGGCAATTTATCTCAGCCGACCATCTCAGCAATTAGGATAAATGTGTCACCCCAGCCAGCAATAGACGTGTATGAGGGAATATGAATGAGCGCGGCTCATCAGTTTGCTGTAAGCCATGTGTTTGTGCATAAGGGAAAAAGGTCACAGGTTGTGTAAGTGTACTCAGTGGTACAGGCAGGCTGTCTGCATCATGATCGTACGAGCTTGCAGTGCTTAGTCCCAGTGCTGTTTTTTTTCCCAAAGCCCTCTTTTCAAACATGAGTCAATGGAAAATGGGATGCCGCCCGTAAAGTAATTAAAAAACATGGGAGAGATAAAGTATCCATATGCCATAGCATTTCCTCAGCCAGCATCTTCATTCTGTCCTGTATAATGAGATTTGCTCAAAATTCATCCGTGTGTTCGCAGACTGAAATGTCAGCACTTGGCCTCTCAGGTTGGCCATGTCGCTCCCAAACGCACGCAAACATACCCACGGAACACAGACGGCAACACGTAGATGTACAAAGAAGCCGACACACACTCTATCTCCCTTTAGCTGTCTCTCTTCTCCTCACTTTATAGACACTTGTATTCAGTAAAGTCACACCGCTGCTGTATTTATAGCTTGGCTGAAAGCTTATTCTCAAGGCTTATTGGGAGAGGTGAACCTGTGAATTCACAGGCACGCTGAGTCAGGTCGAAAAACAAGGATTCAGCTGCATCTGAACAACAACAGACCATCTACTCATCTCATTCTCCTCCTGCTGCTCCTACTCATTCTCTCATTATTAAGACAGGATTATAAAAGCAGTTAAGTAAAAAAATGTCAAGAAACAACAAAAAATGAGCCAAAAGCTTTTTGAACTTTTGATGAATATAGCTTTGTGAGTAAATCCCATTTTCAGGTTTTTATTCATGACAAACCGTGAGGAACCAGTGGTGTGCATGTGTCTCTTTCTGACCCCCATTCCCACCTGTGTTTTTCAACCTGACCCGTTGACAGGGGTCATGGGCCCTCTAAAGCTGCAGTTGGGGGTATGTGGACGCCTGTCTGTGTAATAGTCATCCTTTGATCCAGGAGGATTTGGCAGATGTCTCACACACCACAAGGCTTAGGCCGAGGATGCAAACTATGGCACACTATCGCTTCTGTTGGTGGATCAAAGCCGCGCTGAGTCTCGGCATGCCTTATAAACACTGCCACTGGCCAATAAAGGAGTAATCCAATCACTGAGAGTGTAACATGGGTCATATGAGCATACCTAAGGTCAGGGGGCAGTCCCAGCCAATCAGAATGAGAGCTACGGAGTGTTATAATCCTGGGGATAAAATTTCAAGGGAAGTTTGACAGGAGTTCTGAGAGTTGTCACAGACTTGTTCATTTCCAAGTAAAGTGGAAAAGGCTGAACTGTTGGGGCTTCGGTGTGACTTCAAAATCAGACGGTCTGTTATTTCTTATCTGATCACTACTGATTGAAATTCTATCAGATTATCTGGTTTCTTGTTCTGGCCCCAGTATCTCCATGCAGCAGATGAGGGGGCAGGCTTCTTAAGTTTGGGCCCTTTGGCAATCTTGCATCAAGTCAAAGGCTTAGCTCATCTTTATTCCATCGCCCTGTGGACTTTCATTTATTTCAAAGACAGAAAGATGAGGCATTTTTGGGGAGATGGACAGCCTTTGGGACCTACCGCAATGATAGAAAAAGATAAGATCTGCATTACCGCTGGTCATTTTTGAAGGGGAGTGGGACAAAGATAAAACATTTTTTTAGAGTCTTCAGAGGAAATCAGCATATATCGGCCAATCTGCCATGATTCTTGCAATCAAACCAAAGCATATGAAGCATATAGTGCTCTCCCAGCATTTCTTCCCCACTCCACTTTACTCTCTTTTCCGTCTTCATAAAAATATCTTCCATTTTTTTCTCTTGCCTCATCTCTCTCCTTTATTTCTTTCTTCTTCTTCCCACATGTTTTATCTCTGAATGCCTCAATCCTCCTCTGTGGTTACAGGGATAGGTCATGAATTCCCTTCTGTCCCCCTCATCCTCTCCCACTAGCCTGGTAAGTGACAGCTGCAAGCTGGACAAAGGCCTGATAATACCCTGGATTTGTCAGGCTCTGACTTCACCCATGTCCCCCTGTGACTGATGCACTGACAGTGGCGCCGTGCCAGCTGAAAAGCCCACTTTGTGATGGGGGCTGTTGCTGTTGTTGTGCTGGGTGTGAATGTGTGTGTATGTGTATCCATGGTTCCTTTCTGACTCCAAAACAGCCC